ATCATCTATCTATCTATCTATCTATCTATCTATCTATCTATCTATCTATCTATATATATATATATATCATCTATCTATCTATCTATCTATCTATCTATCTATCTATCTATCTATCTATATATATATATATATCATCTATCTATCTATCTATCTATCTATCTATCTATCTATCTATCTATCTATATATAAATTAAAAAAAAATTGGATAGATAGCTGACACCTAGAAGACAAGAATAATATGTTGAAAGGTTGGAGAAACAGACCAAAAGTATCATAACAATATTTAAGAGAGACAAATGAATAGGTAGAGATCGGGAGATATCTAGCTTTATAGCAATAGTTGTGGGGGGAAATAGTGCTGTGAAACTCTGCCAAAAGCTGTGGAACTAGAATTAGGGAAGCATAGCAAGCTACTCCACTGCTGGGTCGTGCGATGCAAGCCAATGAAGCTGCTTCAAAAGGGGCGACCACTTATAGGATTGCACCACGTGGTCCAGCAACAAAGTAAGTTTGCTATTTTTTCCTAAACCAAGCTCCGGAGATTTTCAAAAGGTGAAGAGGATGTGGGGCCTGGTGGGCCTGCAGAAACATGGGAGTGGAGTTGGGGGCGGATTGAGAGGGGATGCAGCATCCCTGTGGTCTGCTGTATAGGTGAATGACAGCATTGGGGCTGCAGAGGCCATAATTTTGAGACCAGATTGTACGTAGGTTTGGGAGGGTCCATCATACATACCTTTAAACGGACCTATGGACCAGTCAAGAACTACTTGTAAAGAAGTTGACTAAACATGCCTGCGTTATACATACAAATTTAAGCCTGACCTTCTCAAATTCTCCTCCTCCCTATCTACTGAAAAAATCCCATTCCACTTCTTGATTACCATGAAGCATGTATTTATTTGTATCCTGCCTGGCTACTTTACTTTGGCTAGCATGGCAGCAGTAACTGCCACCTCTTTCCAGCAAGATCATGGTTGCCTATTGCACCTGCCAGACTATCCATCTTCTCCTTACACTTGCCTTCTCTTCTACAGATCAAGCAGCAGTTAAGAAGCCTGGACCAAGATCTGGAGCAGCCACTGAGACTGCAGAATAACATAGGAAAAACTTGTTTAGCTTTTGCCCACCTTTGTTGGAAAAGCGATGGCAGTGGAATGGCACAACTGCTGCCAAAAGGAGCTGAGCCAAAAGGAGCTGAGCCCTCTGTTTCTTCTTCTCCAGTGGAAGGAAAGAAGAAAGTATAGCGGGCTGGGTGAGAAAATACAGGGGGCAGCAAGCAGCAGGCTCTAGAGGTCAGGGTTGGTGTGGGACAGAGGTTGTTGTTGCTGCTGCTTTTGTTGCAACCACAACAACCTAAATAGGCAGGGAGAGAGTAGAATAGGCAGCCAGGTTGTCCAGAGAAACTCTGCAGGGGGTTGGTTTTGCCTGTGCAAGCTACGTTTTTGTAGCTCTCTTCAAATTCACTCAAAACCTCCCAGGGTGTTGTGGCCCACAGCTTGAAAAATCTTGCCCCAAGCAGCTAACCCCACTCCCCACTTCACCTCACCCCTCTGGATTCAGAACTTACCGGTACTGAAAAACAGCATGTTGTTTAGAGCATGAGGGATGGTCAATAGGAATATCAGCAATGCGTCGGTGTCTTCCCAACAGATAAGCACTCTGCCGGTGAATATACATTACAGGAAGAACCTCATCATTCTTGAAGGGATATAAACGCCATCGCTTTTTGGGAATGCGTGCTTCTGGGGGTTCGGTATATTTGATCACAACACCACGAAAAGTATTGGAATCCTCCAAAAGAGCACCAGATAGTTCAAAGCTTGGTTTTTCCTTCTGGCTAGCCTCCTTGTCCGTATTCTTGTTGCTGGGCCCTTTTCCTTCACTATTTTCCTCATCTCCACTTGCTTCCATCTGTTGACGATGTTGCCGCCGCCTCTCATTATAAAACTCCCTTTCCGCCTGCTGATCCAGGAGATGGTTGGCATCCTGTTTCCTTCCACGACTCTCAGCCTGTTCCTTAGTGAGCTTCCTTCGAGCTGAATGATCCCGGTACCTCTCTCTATTGCTTTTTGGTTGCCTACGGTCAAGCTCTGAGCGGTCTTGATTCTGCCGCTCTTCATGTCCCCTCCGAGAATGATCCTCTGGTTCCTATAACAGTGGAGGAATAAATAGATAGCTACAAGTGGAACCCAGGAATAAAGATAAATGGATTCCTAGCTATACTTTATGAGAGCTCACTATTATTCCAATAATGGTTGAAATACATGGCTGCAAAGCACGGCTAACATTTGAACTACTGAACAACCAAGTGTAACTTAATGGTAAGCCAAATGGCGAAGGGCAGCGGCACAACGGAAGTGCTAGGGCTGCATACCACCAGAAGCGCCTGAACTGGAACCCTGGCACCGAGGCTGGGCTGGTGGCTGTGAGGCCCAGACCCGACATCAGCCGTCTGACCTGCGACCTTGAATCCGCTCTGGAGCCTGGAAAGTTCCGATACACGGAAAGAGAAACGACCTGCCGCTCACGCGGGCCACGGCCTCCTCCGCCTCCCTCACGGCCACCCCGCACGCCCCCCCCCAGCCGCCTACCTGCTTTATCCTGACACCGGCGTGTCGGGGACTCCGGCTCCGCTTTTCCCGAGGCAGCGGCGACCTGCTCCTTTTGCCCGAGGACCGGCGCTTCTTCCTCGATTGCGACCTTCCAACGACACAAACCCCGTCAGGCACCAAGGCCGGGCCCGCCACGCCCCTCTCCCGGGCCGCCCCCGCCCCCGACGCTCACCTGCCGGCCTCCCGGGGGCTTCCCCGCGGGCTGCGCTTCCGGTGCCTCCGCCGCCGCTCCGACTCCTCCATGGCGCTTTACCGGCTCCCAGTTCCTGGTTTCCGCCTCTAGGCCGCCGCCACCCTCTACACGGCCCGGAAGCGCTCGACCAACTGCTTCCGCCCTCAGGGGCGTGGCTTGTGCCTCGCGGCACGACGTAGCCCGTGATTGGCCGAGGTCAGCAAGCGGGTTTCTTGCATCATGGCGGGCGGGGGGGCTTTGTGCGCCTGCGCGCCCCCGGCGTCCCTGTGGCCGTGGCAACGGCGGCGCAACTGGCTGGACGCCGGTCGGGCCTGGAGGAACCGCCATGATTCCCCCCGCCGACTCCCTCCTGCGCTACGAGACGCCGGTGCTGGTCAGCCGCAACACCGAGAAGCGCTCGCCTAAGGTAGGCGGGGGCCGGAGGGAAGGGGCCGGAGGACAGCGGGGCCGCCGCCGCCGTCGGGGACTGACCGCTCCGCCGCTCCGCAGGCGCGGCCGCTGAAGGGGACGCCGCAGCTGTCGGTGCCCGCGGGGCCTGTCTCGCCACCCAAGGGCAAAGCGCCGCCGCCCTCGGTGGACCCCAGCAAGCAGGCCGAGGAGATCCTCAACGCCATCCTTCCGCCGCGGTGAGGCATGCGGGGGACGGGGGGGGGACTCGGGGGCCCCCGAGGTGGACGGGCTGATAACCTGCGCTCCCCCCGCAGAGAATGGACGGAGGAGAACCAGCTCTGGGTGCAGCAGGTCTCCAGTACGCCCAGCACGCGCATGGACGTGGTGCATCTGCAGGAGCAGCTGGATCTGAAGCTGCAGCAGCGCCAGGCGCGAGAGACCGGCATCTGCCCGGTGCGCCGCGAGCTCTACTCCCAGTGCTTCGGTGAGCGATGGGGGGGGGAGACGGGGCACTGGGGGGGGAGGGGCTGCCAGCAAGGCTGACTTGTCTCTTTTTGCCCCGCAGACGAGCTAATCCGGCAGGTGACCATCAACTGCGCCGAGCGCGGGCTGCTGCTGCTGCGCGTGCGGGACGAGATCCGGATGACCATCGCAGCGTACCAGACCCTCTACGAGAGCAGCGTGGCCTTTGGCATGAGGAAGGCCTTGCAGGCCGAGCAGGGCAAATCCGACATGGAAAGAAAGGTAAGGTCAGCTAGGCGGCCTGGCCCAGGCAGAGGGAAGACGACTTCCCTCCAAGGCTGCCCTGGGTCTGAGGAAGCTGGAGCAAAGGGCAGCTTGGAAGTGGCAGGCAGCCATTCTTAAAGGTTCCCTGGCTGCTGTCTTCTCTGTCTCAAGATTGCAGAATTAGAGGATGAGAAACGGGACTTGGAGAGGCAGGTGAATGAGCAGAAGGCCAAGTGCGAAGCCATTGAAAAGCGGGAACTGGAAAGGCGACAGGTGGAAGAGAAGAAGCACACCGAGGAGGTCCAGTTCCTGAAACGGACTAATCAGCAGCTCAAGGTTAGGGAAGACACAAACTGAGCACTGGAATTTTAATAGGCTGCAACCTGTAGTCACATTACTCTGCCTTCCCTGCACAAAGTCCTTGACTAACCATAACTGAGCTCAGAATTACGGCGGTTAAGGTTACTGCCTGAGCAGACCTGATTTTGATGGGTTTTTGCATTGTAATTAAGTGAATCTGTTTTGTCATTTTTTGCCATGTGCTCATATCATTGTAGGATGCTGCAAAGGTGAGCCAAGTGCCCAAAATGTGTTCATGTGACAGGGTGCTGCTGCCATCACAACTTTCAAATCAAGTCATAAATTGCTTTTGATGAGTCGATTGTAACTTAAAACACTCACTAAGCAACTGGTTGTAAACTGAGAACTACCTGGACTTGTTTTGTGTCTTAGGCTGTTGGACCTGGGCAATTTACACTGCTGGCAGTGTTGAAGTCTCTAAAACAAAGCCCACTATGGATTCTGTTTTTCAAACTTAACAATTATGCTTTAATTTCTAAGCCAATCATACGCTGTTGCAGAATGATCCACTTCTAAAATATTTGATACAGTGTCTCTCCTTCGTGCCCAGTAGCAGCCGTGCCCAGTAGCAGCACCATCTCTCAGGGAAAAGTTTTCTATCTTTTGGCACAGGGCAGTAGTTATTCACTGATTAACTGCTTTGTCTGCATTTTAGGCACAGCTCGAAGGCATCATTGCACCGAAGAAATAAGATTTGTCCGCCCAATGCAAAAAGTGCCTTGAGGGGAAAAGGAGAACACGGCTGTAGAGAATTTTTCCTGAAAGTGTATCCAAACTGTTCCACCTCATCTGAATCAACATAAATCCAAATACTCTTCAAATGTCTCTTGCACATTTAAAAAGAATCTCAACTGGCTTGGGATTTCTTTTCAATTAATATTTACTGGAGGTAAATAATAGAGGTCCTTTTTAAAAAATAAAAAAGGCAGTATTTTAGTTCTATGCGGGAGTCTGCCCAACCACAAAACAAAGGGCTTTACAAAATGCGATAAAATTAATCCTGACTTCTGCAATATGATGTAGTGGTTTAACTGGTGATCACACATCCTAATCAACTTCTCTTTTACCATCCATATAAGGCAAAGGTAGTAAGAAATCTTACTCTTTCTGCTATTTTTTTTATTGTTTTTGCATCGATTGTGTCTTTTGTAAGGATCCCAAATGGAAGCCAACAGTTTTCATGTTGTAAATGTTTACTATGTGGATTTATAAAGATAACAATTTCAAGATGTATCTTTATTTATTTATTTATTATGTTGTAAGCCTCTGGGCTTCAGTGTCAATTTTCCTCTTGTTCCTGTTTCTATTTTTGACATTATGAGTATCATAATATCGAACACCAACTTTCTTTGAGTGCTGCTGCCGCTCTGCTCTTCTCTTCTGCAAAGGCAAAACAATGGTTTTGGGAAAATCCAAGACAATGGACAATGTAATAGCTGTAACTTACTATCCCAAAAGGAAAAAAAAATCCCATATGTAAGCGCTACTACACTTCTATTTTTAAAATCCACACTACATGACAACTATGCCACATAAAATGAACAAGTTTCCCTTAGGCTGCACCTTATGAAAGCCACAGAGGACAACTGATTTACATCCTGCCTTGAGTTTCTATATAACTGAAGGTGACCTATGTAATGCTCCCACCTCCTCCCCCCCCCCACCCCAGAACAATTCCATGAGATGGTTTGGGCTAAGGAAAAGTGACCATAGCAAAGCCACTTAGCCAGACTTCACCGCTGACACCTACCTCCTTTGAATTTGGTTTCTTGCAGACGCTGGAACTCTGCTGTTCCTCTCCCTCTGAAACCTTCCTTTTCTTCCTTTCTCCTGGTTTTCCTAAAAGTAGCATGTCAAGAATAGTAAGTGACGAAGCTCTTTCTGAAGAGCCAAACATTGTGAGCAAGAAAGAATTTTTCAGTAAAGGACAAAACTGTTTTGGAATGGGATGGCTGGGCTCCCCTCCCACATAAAATGACAGCTTCCTGACCTTTCTCTTATGCATACCTTAAATAGGTTCAACAAACAAAAGAAGCAAAGTAGATCACAACAACATGAGGAAAAGTGCTCTCCAGAATAGGTGTGGGCCTTTGTACCAAATGCTACACAGATGCAATTGGGAAGCGCTCCAAAGTGAACAAAGGCAATTACACTTTTTCACTGTCACTCCTTAACAACCAGTACTCAATGCACACTGTCAGTGATTCAGATGTTAGTCAAAATCCATGCAGATTAGTAACAGTTGATAGTTTTGAAAAGAACATTTGTGGACGACTGGACTATCTGCACTGCAACACAGAATTCTGTGGCTTAAGTACGTCATGTGGAATCAAGCCAATGCGGGCCCTTTATAAGAATAAAGCTATGAAATGTGCATAGGATGCAGACACTGCTGCAGGAGCACCATACCTCTAGTCTTCTGAGTTTCAACAGCCACTGAATCCAACTCTGATTTTGCAAGTATTCTTTCATTCAGCCCCTTAGGGATTCTAGGCAGGAAAGCAAACAAGCAGTTACTCTACCTAAATCTGACTCCCCATTCCTCTAGCAGTTATATAGCCTTAAATTTCATAGGATAGCTTAATTCTCTACCATAATCACAAGCTGAAAAAAAATACAATGTAGAATGCATATTTTACAAATGAGTATCTCACTGGCTGCTCAGTTAACCCTGACTTGATGGGATGTAAATAAGGAGGGGAGGCTGCTTTGCACCTAGAAGAAACCCTTTTTTAGGATTATAATGGGGGGGGGGAATAATCTTTACTTGTCCTGGCTTTGGGAAGAAGAGAATTTTTACAAGGCAAGGATGGTGATGTCACTGTTTCTCATAAACTTCCACTTCCCAAGCTGCAGTCTCCCACTAACCCAACCACCTCTACATTTTCAGGTGCCTCCCTTCTGCAGAAACGGGCAGAATATAAGTAGTAGGTCTTTATCCCAATCATGCTTCATTAGATGTTGAACTGCTTAGCATTGGGAGGGGATGAGATGGGACCTTCACTGACACAAATCAAGGAAAGAAAAACATCCTAATCATAGGGGTTGCTTAATCTCTTTAGGTGACCACAAAGAGATTTACTGACTGCTATAACTGTTGGCAGGCTCTCCTATTATTGCTGGAAGTGATTGGGAATTCCTACATGTGGCAGAAGAAACTGAGAAACTTATTTTATGGCATATCCCTACAGCTGCAGCCCTCTGTGTGTCTTAAGTATATGTCCTAAAGCATGCTTCACACATCTAAGAAGTTCCAAGTAGAAAATGGCTGCCAAAGAGTAAGCTTAAGTGGGCAAGCCTGATTTTTGGAAAAGGGTGGATAGGGAAAATATGGGTTATGCAAACAGACTGACTGTGCAGGAACAACTATGAGGAGGAGAGAGCAATGCCCAGATTATTCTCTCCCTTCCTCCATAGTACCCTCTTGATTTTTGTGCCCTATTATTCCACTTGCCCCATACTATTTCTACCAGCACTATTCCATTTCAGTCCCTGCACAGATTAAAAAAGCTCCTTTTGTTTCATTCAGGGGACCAGAGAACCCCAAATTCAGGAGGCCAGAGAACTCCAAACGCCACCTGAAGACCACAAAGTTCCAGGCACAAAACATATTGTGCCTGGAACTTTTGTTTTAA